CTCATTAGATCATTTCTGTAAGTTTATATATTTAAAGCCAATTACATGAAATTTTGTCTCTCTATCTATTCAGATAATAACCAATGGTCCAATGTTCGATTTCATAAACAAAATCTTACGAGTTATATAGACGCGTGTCTTAACATTTTGGTAACATAAAATAACAATAAATTAAAGATCAATCTCAATAAATTTAAGGTCAATTACTTAAATTTTATTTTGGTGCTCATTCCGTTCATTGCTAGCTACTTCCATTCAATATATTTGCAGATGAGCAAATATATAATTCAAGTTTAAGAAAATTCAATGTGTTAACAATGGAACTTCTTTATAACAAATGTAAAATACGTCAACACTAAGTCGTACACTTGCTTCCCAGTGAACTTCACCTCAATCGGGTTGGCACTTTTACCAATGGATAGCATATTTTGGCCAACTCCTTGGTGGCCTGAGTTAACCTTTTCCGGATAGATACCATCCTTAGGCTGCAAATATTGTACATCTCCATTAGATTTAGGGAATACCCTATAAAATTTTCGATCCAGAGAATGACTTAAAATTATCTTTTGAGTGGTTATTTAAACATGATAAAGACTTTTATTTTTCGAAAAAGAAAATTTGAAAAATACATACTTTTAAATGGAAAATTCATGTTAAACAAGTTTACATGGGATATTAGATATAATAGGACAAAAGAATAGGACAATATTTTAATTTTTCTCGACTTCGACCATCTAAATCATTAAATAATATAGTGATTATTTTACCATTCTCTTTAATTATTTTTTATCTACTTCTTTTCTCGACAATTCTACATAGACACAACTGTTATTTAGGAAAATAAAAGTCTCCTTCGAATATTACGATAGAATTACCTTGAAATAATTGGACAGTGTAACCGGTTTAATCAACAAGATCACAATATTAATTCGAGCCCACCAAGTTTACGATATTTCCTTAAAACGAATTTGCTGCCTTCACAAATGTTAAAGGTATTCGGCAATCATTTTTAAGGATAGAACGAATTTCGTCTCTTACTGAAACAACACAGCAATCAGCAGGAGTTCCAACGAACTTAACCAAGTGTGTTTCACTTTGAGAACAACATCAGAATGAGAGATGGGAGTGAGATTGAAAGCATAGAATGATTGCAATGAAAATTGTGTATTTTTTCCTGGCAACGGGGCATGCTATTTATAGACTTGTTCGTGGCCATTCGAACAACCTTCAAGCCATTTCAGAATAGTCGTCACTGTTCAGACAGCTCCCCAAAACCCAAACCGACAGCCAGGTTTGGTTGACAGTCGGATGTTCAGTCGATTAATAGTCGCTTAACAGTCAACTGTTTAGACCATAAACAATCGGTTGTTTAGTCAATTAATAGACCATCTAGACAAAAAATTACCCGAAAATAAGCCAATAAAAAAAAATAATTTCATTAAGTATCCAAGAATTTGATTAATTACAATTTGTTCCAAAAAGATAATATAGCACAAGGACGCACCCGCACACAAACCAGACAGGACTCGGACTCGTGCCGTGCTGAGCCGAACGAACGATGCACGTGGGGTTTGGACAGAGTCCAATAGGATATAGTTCTCCTCCATTCCAAAGACTATTGGTACCCCTTGAGGTCCAAACTCAATTCTCAACCTTACACTATATAAACCACACAAAAGTTTCCTAACTTTCCTATGTGGGATAAGTGTTTGAGAATTTTCAATAAATCAAATTCATCACTAGTTTATAGTTCCAAGTGAGTTATTTTGACATTAAATATTTCATTCAATTCTAAATGGTTTTCATTAAATAAATATATCACATTGATCAACTCGCGGAGTAGAACGTGAATATACTTGATCCCGTTATAATCGACGTACGAGTCCTACTCAATATGGGACTTAAAATTAACCCATTTCACTAAACCATTTCCAACAACAACTTAATTAATTTGTTAATCTTTATCTGCAAACTCGACTTTGTAGTGATGTGCCAAGTGGTATTTTCAATATAGGGAACATTTGATTAACTTAAATACATTTTGAGTGATTATTTGAACATACAAAGACATGTATAATCAGAAAAGAAAAAGAAAAAGAAAAATTGAAATAGACATGCTTTTAAATGAAAAAATCGTGTTAGAGTCCGTTTGATTGTAAATGTGAAAAATGGGTGAAAAGAAAATATTTTACAGAGAATTGATATGCCTAAAAATTGTTTTACTGGAAATTGTAATTAATTATGTTTGAATGATATAATTTTTCATGGAAAATGTTGAAAGTTTGGTGTACGTTTGGCTTCGTTTTTTATGAAAATTGTCCATTAAAGTGATAATATTTTCTACCATTGGGTCTAAAATTTGTTTCAATTGCAAAAAAAAAAAAAAAATTGAAAAAAAAAATAATCATACCAAATATCATTCGTTTGGCTTTGTTTTGCATGAAAATTATCAATAAAAGTGAAAAAAAATTTTACCATTGTGTTTAAAAAAATTTCCAATTAATAAAAAAAAAATGGAAAACATTTACTCATCGAAACATCAAGAATTTATTTTCCTCAAAAGGATGGAAAATTTGGAAAGTTGGAAAATATTTTCTCGAGAAAATTTTGCATATCAAACAATACAAAAATTAGAAAATGAATTTTTTTTCTATTTTTCATGAAAAATGTGTGCTATCAAATGGGGCAAAAGAGTTTATATATTAAATGTAACACACAAAACAATGGGACAAATATTTTATTTTATTTTTAACTTCAAACCCTCTAAATCATAACATAAAATAGGAGGGACATGTCAAGCCCACAGACTTTTGTAATTCTTTTTGTCATTCTCTTTAATCAATTTTATATTTTTTTTCCACGATCATTCTACATGGACACAACGTAATCAATCTATGAATTTTACATTCAAATTTCAAACTCAACAAAGTCGATTACAGTGGTGTGCCAAAATAAAGTTGATTGTAGTGACATGCCAAGTGGTATTTTTCAATATGAAAAACTTGTGATTCGCTTAAAATTATCTTTTGGGTGGGTATTTGAACATGACAAAGATGTGCGTTGTAAAAAAAAACATAAAAATTGAAAAATACGTGCTTTTAAATAAAAAAGAAAAAAAAAACAATCGGACTAGAAAATTAGTGAACCGGCCATGGGACCGGTTTGGGCTGCTATATTGGACCACTTAGCAAAGGACTCAATCGGGAACTGCTTGACCCGATCAGAGCCAACTAGAATCGGACGGTTTGCTCGAAAACCATATCCGGGTGGAACTGGTCCAATAACATTTGAAACAAAATTTAATCCTACTGCAGTGTGAGTCGAACCCAAGGCCCTTCTGTCAAAAGTTGTACCTATATCCAAAGCACTGATTAGTTATATTGAAATGTGATGAATCGTGCTATATATACATCTTTGTGATGAATCCTACTGCAGTGTGAGTCGAACTCAAGGCCCTTCTGTCGAAAGTTGTGCCTATATCCAAAGCACTGATTAATTATATTGAAATGTGATGAATCGTGCTATATATACATCTTTGTTGACAGTTCGGGACATTTCGATACCTTTGTTTTTAGCACGATTACATCACAATGAGTTGAAACAGAATTTAATATTTGTTCCCATAATTTATGCCAAGCGGTCGGTGGAAGTGCAAAAAGACATAAAAAATTGCTATCGATGTGTCAAAATCCTGGCATTAATAATTCACTTTGTCGTCACACCAAACTCGTTTTCTTCATCTAGTCACAATCATCTTCCCTATCACCCCCTTTCTACCCTTCCCCACCCCCCACGCGACTGCTCAGCCTATAAATATCTGCCATTCCCAAATGCTCAAAGGTCGTCTTCTATTTGATCAAATCCCTTAACAATCCTATATAAACCATCAAATTCATACCTGTTTCGCTGTTTCTTCTCTCTCATTTTGCATACATGGATTCTTCTAGCTTTCATTCCGCCTCTTCCCCATTTGATTGTATCATCTTCGGTAAGGAATTGCTCTTGAAATTCGGATGCTCTACCTGCTCGTTTAAAGCTTAAATGGAATGAGTTCTTCATATGAGTTTTTTACCTTCTTTTTTTTTATTTAGATACTATTGAAATTTCATGTTAAAAGGTCAATCATCGTAATTCTTATACGCTGACAAGTGAGATTTTACTTTAATGGATGCAAACAGAGTTAAATGGAAAGAGAAAAGAGGGGAATTTTTCGGAATGCTTTTTTTTTTATAATTTAATTTGATTTTGTTTCTTCTTTTTCTCAATGAATGCAGATTTGGACGACACCTTGTATTCATCCAAAACTGGAATTGGTCAAGCTCTTAAACGAAACATTGACGGTATTTTTCTTATACAATTTAAATCCTTTAAAAAAATAATTGTTTTCGATCAATTGATTTTTAATTTTTTTTCCTCTTTTTCGATGATTCGCAGATTTTCTAGTCGAGAGATTCGGATTTCCAGAATCGCAAGCTCCAACTCTTCGAGCAGAGCTCTTCAAAATTTACGGAAGCTCCCTTGTTGGTCTTAGGGTAAAGGATCACAAACTTTTGCAGCAATTTCTCCAGTTTTAATACAATCTGAGCTTGAAATCGTTAATTGATTAATTTTCTCCTAATTGCTTCTTTTTGTGCAGTCATTAGGCTATGATGTTGATGCCGACGATTATCACAGGTAGAAGAAACTCCTTTTCCATATAATTCAAAATAAATTCTTCGGTTCTTCCTAAGAATTCAAATTCAAATTTTCGACCTTTTCCTCTCAACAGTGTCGTGCACGGAAGATTGCCGTATGATTTGATCAAACCAGACGCTAGATTGCGAAACCTCCTACAAACCATTAAACAAAGGAAAATTGTAAGATGTACAGATAATCATCAAATTATACATAAACACGTACACGATAATAATTTATATTATAATTTAAGAAAATAAAAAATAAATAAATAAATTGCAGATTTTTACGAATTCTGATAGAATCCACGCAATGAAAGCATTGGATCGTCTCGGAATCAAAGACTGTTTCGAGCAAATCATTTGTTTCGAGACAATGAATCCAAATCTATCGAAATCAACTACTCCGGTGGTGTTGAAGCCTTCAATGGAGGCCATGAAGATTGCAATTGATGTTGCAGGTGTTGATCCACGGCGCACGGTATGCTTGTTGCATAGCATCATTGCCTTGACCCATAATCATAAGGAAGATAATTGATCGAAGATTTTGATTTGATATTTTTATTTTCTTTCTTTTGATTTTTTGATTTTTTATTTTTATGCAGTTGTTTTTGGATGACAATGCGAAAAATGTTGCTGCTGGGAAGGCTGTCGAGCTCCAGACAGTTCTGGTGAGTAAAAACTTTATTGTGCCGCTTTATCTTTTGCCACACGTAAAATTAATATTTTTTCGAACAATTTTTTATGTGATAATGAGCCGCCAAGACCATATCGGTCCATAATGGCCGAAGACCAAGACCCCATTTTACACGGATGCACGTGCAACAATAGTCCATGACGGCTCCATAATGGTCAAAAACTAACATTTTACGCATGATCGACGTGCAATAACAATCCCCAACGGTCACAGATCCATATTTTACACGTGATCGACGTGCAATGACGGTCCAAAGCTCAAATTTATGAGTGATGTAGTTGCAACAACTGTCCATAGCAGTCCAAGATCCACATTTTATACGTGATGCACATGTGATAACGTGTTAGGACCCACAATTTTTTTCTCGTATTCTTGAGATATAAATGCTAGTCACAATATTGAGTTCAAACGGTTTGTTATTGGAGTCGTCTTAACAAATTATGGATTAA